CCTGAATGAATGAGTTGTAGTGGCTGTCTAACCAGTAACCTGTTCAGATTTTTTTATGTAGCACAGCATATAAAAATGCTTACACTTACATACGAGAGGCACTGATCTGTTTCCTTGTAAATTGCTACACTTACATTTGCTTTGGCTTGTGTGGTCCATCAGATCACAACCAATAGGAGTTTCTCTTTAATCTTTGCATTTCATGTTGGTCTTATCCTTGTCTGGGCTGCATTGGGTTGGAGCCAGTTTCTGCAAGCCAAAACAAAGGGAGATACTGTGGACAAATTGTCAGCTTATAACAGTTTTAACACACTTGATAATCATCGAATATCATCATAATCCTGAGCTTATGGCACAGCTTCAGGTTTTTTTTCCAAGTTTTTACTGGAATTCTCAGAGTCCTCTGCAGAACAATAATTCCATCGACAGGAACTTTGCCCTTAAGTGGAAGTCACATCTGATTAATTTATTTACTCTAACACAGTGAGAAATCTTATTTCTACACCCACTATACTGGATCAAAGTTGGATAAATGGGGAGAGTGATAGAGAAATCAGCTTCTACACAAGCCGCCTCAGTAGACAAGAATGCAATGCCAAAGCATGTCATTCAGTTGAATAAAACCCATATTTAATATATACGGCTATATTGTCAGTGCTCTGTATAACAATAAGCCGACCAACCTCTCAATCATAATACTATCTTGAGTTATCCAAAGACATTCAATTCAATAAGCATGCAAATCCTTCCCATGTCTACAGCCTCTCCAATAAGATATGAAGTAGCAGAAGCAGATGAAGTACGCTGAAGAAATAAATTCTCATAGTTGTGTCCATTCTGACTCCAGGTCATGATAACCTTCCAAATCACATTCAGTTTTACATAAAGCATTTCAAACACCAAAAGTAAATACAGAACAGAAGAACCAAAAGTAACCACAGGAATTACCAGCCTGGATTAACTATTCTGGTTAACTGCATAGGAGTTTTCTTGTTGATAAACTTGTTATCTAACCAAGCCACATTCAGATCAATAGACCTGTGTAAAAAGACACAGCCTTCTGTCATTTGAATGAAGCCAGTTTAGCAACAGGGGTGCTAACACAAGAGGCTAACCAGGCTTAATTTGTGCTGCAACACAGCAGATAGATTACTTTGCTCTGTTTCTACTGTTTCCCTCACATTGCAATAACAGATAAAATAGTTGCTGCCACGATAGCCTTCACAACGGCCCTTTGCTCTCTCCACTTTCTTGTCTCTACAGCTACTACTATCAAATAAAGGGCAATCATTTTCATTGACTGCCACTACACAATAGAGCAAGTTGTGGCTAATTCCTCTACAAATTAAACCAAATACCAGTATGTTTCAAGTAACTCTAGTAGACTTATAGTGATTTGACAGAATGATTACGCACACCCTGTCAGATCAAAAACCCACACATCTGGATCAAGGGGAATATAAAAGTGGAGGACATACTCGTTTTCCTCGTTGTATTTATGCACATGTAGAGGCGTGTCCCAGAGTTGAAAACTGCTCCCAGACAGTAATATGTGATGCCATTGATTGACTCTTTCTGCTCTATTGATGGTAAATAGGAGACTGACTTGTGCACACCCTGTGACAGTATGATAAGAGACAGCAGAGCAGAAAAAAATACCTTATCATTGGCTAACAGTTGGTGAACCCAACAAGCGAAATGAGTTTGGCTGACACACAGACAACACGAAGGAGGTATCTCAGAAGTCACTCTTTGTTTCACTAAATGCTGCAAGAACAGAGTGACTAGTCATCAACCTAAAACACTCATGTATATGTCTCTTAATTTTTAATGATTACATTAATAACTTTGAAAGGATTCAAATTGTTTGTGTGGTGAGGTGACCGTGGCTAATATGGTATATTTTGTGTAAAGTTAAAAGCTTGGTTTCACGTTCTTCTAATTAGTATGTAGATTTTCTGTGCACGTCCCTCCCTGACATTATTGCAAATTTTTCCCTCTATAAAATGTACCACTACGGCTGGTCTCACTCTCAAGTTCATTCATTTCCGGCAATCTTCAGTCTGTGCACATTTTGGGGGTTTTAGGCCATTATATTCATGCCAGTAGAGGCTGTACGGAGGCAAATTGAAGAAACCAAATGTAAATATGTGCAAAAGTCAGGGCACAGGCCTGATTCTTTCTGCCCTCATTAGCTGTAGAGGGATTAGACCTCATGCTGGCTGCCCTCAGAGGGGTGATGGGACCTGAGGAGTTATTCCTGCAATATAATAAATAATAAACTTTCTTCTTAACATTTATGACTAAGTATTTTACATAGTGAATCAGGTTGTAGATCATAAATGCACTCAGCTGAACTAGATTACCGAAAGGAGGAGGGTCATTGACTCAATTTTGTCCAGAGAAGGATCCCTGCTTTGAATGGGGGAGAATTCTTGCAGCCTCACTGCTCCTTTTATACAGCAGCCCGGGGCTGTCAGCCTTGCCTTGCTTTCTTAGTTTGATCTGTCTGAGGCTCTGAATCCCAACACGCTCCTTTTTTCCAATTATTTAACCATACCCACAGCGAATCAAAGGGCTGGAGATCATGACACAGATTTCAGAGAGAGTCCCTGATATAGAGACAGAGAGATTGATTGATATAAAAAATCATCACTCAAAGTAAAATTGGTCAAATCAAAGAGAGAGAGAGAGAGATAAGAGAGCAGAGGGGGTGAAATGGAAAGCATCGAGCTGTCACAGCACCCTGCTCAGAGAGGTTGAGGTGATATTTTTGATGTGCGAATTGATGTCAGGGCGAGTGGCACTTTGATGACACAGTCAGAACTTTTCAGGGTCAATCAAAATCTATATCTACAGCAGAACAGCTACAGATTTTACATCCAGGCTCAAAGTGAACACTTTATCTGAGGCTCTGATAAACAACTGACAAGGAAGAACTTCTACAGAGAGCATTACATAGACTATATTTCATATGCAAGCAGTTTTACATCTTGATTAAAAGAAGAGATAGCAAGGGCAGAGATCATACTACTACTCAAACAGTCACAGATCATGGATGTATTTTTGACACACTTTCAGAAAGCCATTGGGGTCCATTTACATGTGTTTCTATACGATATGAAACAATGTTACATTACTGTAAAGTGCAGACTGCAGAATCTGCTAAATCTGCACCACCTCACACAACAGTAAAGGAACTTTAACACAGACTTTATTTTAACTGTGATGAATTACACAACGTGAGCCAGTTTTACAACCAATTTATTTTCTTACTACCACAGGACAAATTTCAGCTTTACTGTCCTTGGAGTCTGGTGACATTGTCCAATTCCCACTGTACCTCTGCCCACCTTCAACCTTAGCAGGCGTCTTAGCAGCCAACACTCACTGAAAACTCCTGTGTGGGTCTGCAGGGAGTTACTTTTTCTGTACATTGACTAATGGGGCAGCTGTGACTCAGAGCGGCTGTGGCTCAGAGGCAGAGCGGGTCGTCCACTAATCGGCAGGATGTTGGTTCGATCCCCGCCACATGTTGAAGTATCCTTGAGCAAGATACTGAACCCCAAATTACTCCTGATGCCGTGCATCGGTCACTTGTTTGTCTAATCCAGGTAAACAGACACAATGTGGCCCAATGCTAGATGTCTAATCAGGTTAATGACTGCCTGGAATGGCAGAAAAAGTCTACTGAAACTTTAAAAATACAGCAGCATGGTTTGCAATGTAACATAGACACCAATCGTAGTAAATGGGCTAAAATATACACAACCACTGGTATGGTCACTGTAAGAGCTTATGAGGCAAATGCTACAGTAATTGTGGACATTGTGTATATAATGACTGGATAAAAGGCATACGTGGAGAGGCATGAGACATCAGAAAATTATAGTGATTCTGGTATGTAGCCTTATGCATGGTTTTGTCATATGACCTCACCCAACATCGTGGCTTCCCTGACAATTCAGAAAAGTCTGTTGACTGCCTCTAGCATTTCTATGAACCTGACTCGCTTCCAGCTCAGACGTGAGTGAGAAGGATGAGTTCACCTGCTGTTGTTCAACTGCAACAACAAAAAAAACACTAAGGCCTTGACCTGGTTTCATCACCCATTTCATAATTTTAGAAAATCAAAGGTTTCATTATTCAGGAAATACAAAAAGCACTGTGAGTCATGTACAAATATATTTGAAAGCAAGAGGGAGTTGTGGGTTGAAAGCCCACTTGAATATTCATGCCAGACTCATACAATCTGATATTCATCATCATCTTTAAATATAGAATACAAAAGATAAAACTGGATTAAAGAACTAACGATTTTAGCTGCCAAGTGGAATAGAAGAAAAATCCTAATCAGCAAAGCAAAGATTACACAAAAGCATGAAGTTGCCCTGGAGGTGCCTCAGTAGACTCCAAGAAGCCATTACGTGACCTGATATTGTGAATGCACGAGTGACAACACGAGGACTTCATCTCATAGCGGTAGAAGCTGAACCTCCCCTTTTCATGCTTCAGCCAACATGAGACTGTTTTCCCAGTGACCACATGATGCCAAAGAATGAGTGGCTCCAATCCATTCGCATTCCACACAAGCCACATTAGAGCAGATGGAAAAGTACAAGATATAACATATGTGACACCTTAAAAAATGGATGTTCACTGACAAGAGGTTTTTCTGGACAAACGTGTGACAGATCTAGAATTTGTGTGCCTTTTGCATATCGAATAACCACATAGATCTGACCCTGTGTTGTCGTCAGATGTTTTACATATGATGAAAATCTTCTTCTTTTCAGCTTTCAGCCTTTAATTGGTCGCATATGTCAAATTGTCTTTTTTCTTTCTACGCACATTCTTTCTGTAACATTATAACCGGTAATACATTTGACTTTAGTATTGTTGTAGAGACACTCAAAGCACAGTTTTAATGAAAATTTAGGGGAAACTATGTATTTGGGAAATCAAAATAAAAGCTGATATGCAAAAAAAACGACAAAAGATTATCAGAAAACATATTTCCTTTATTGGTTAAGAGGTTTTACAACTTCTGTTATTGGACACAATAGTACGTGGGCTTTTTCCGTTATTTTTGCAAGTATGCACAAGGTGTATGACAAGACATATATATCTTTTACTCATCTGTCAATTATACATTCAGTTGCCTCTGGTTTAGGCATGAAATTTGTCGGTCAAAATGTGCCTTTCTGAACACACCATGATTACATGAGAGATCTTTTGCAAGCTTATGAGGTAGATTCTGTTAACTGCACGTTTAAGATATGAAATATATTCAAACATTTGTAAATCCAATCTATCTATTCAAACCTAAAATGTTTACATTTAACAAAGAGGCTTAATAGGTTCTAAAACCCTTAATAAAAATTATTCAATAGACAAATCACAACTGAGATCTCTGATTTTGTGGTGATCTCTGCAACACCACTTTTCATTTCAGTACATCAGGGGTTTTTGATTATTTTGTAATGATTTACATTTTGCTTCAACAGAGTAAAACTGAGTCAATTAATTATCATTCCACAAAAAGGGACCTAACAGTGGTTCCATGATCAAAGTAGCATAGAGTAAAATTAGAACATTTAAAAAACAACAACAAATACAAATCTTAAAATGTAAGACTGGCCAAAGGTCCAGTGTGTAGGATTTCATGGAAGGAGAAACTATGGACACTTTCAAAAATGGCCATTGTTTGGATTGTCCCTTCTGGGCTACTGTAGAAATATGGCAGTTCAACCTAGCAGACTCCATGGAAGGCGACTCGTGCCGTCTGTAGATTTAAAAGGCTCATTCTAAGATAACAAAAACATAACAATTATCTATATTTTAGGGGAACATTAACACTAATACTATTATATTCCATTTTTGACAATAGATCCTCCTAAATGCAACACACTGGACCTTTAAATCAGGGTTTTAACAGGATGAGGACAGTCAGGGGAAGGTCAGCACAGAAGTCGGGTCACTGTGAGAAGGGTTGCTATGCTCGAGAGGACGGGGTACAAACCGGTGGTCGCGCTACGTGTGGCAGTCCCACTGCGTGACCTACAGTGTTCCCTGTTCTGGCCGATACAGCCTGCATATGCCATTACATGGGGGATGTAGTTCTGCTCATGGACCCCATGTAGCAGGTGAGCCAGGGGACCTTTAGCAAACACAGCCACATCCTCTCCTCCATGAGTCTCCATGCTCAGAGGTACAGCTGACTGGGCCTGGTAGTTGTTTTCCTCTGAAAGGCAGAGACACAGAGAAAGGATGGCAAGATGTCATTGTTTAACACGATAGATACGCAGCAGTGCGCCAGGCAGGAAAGAGGAAGACTGCTAGCAATTACAGTGGATTTAAAAATCAACTTTTTAAATGTTAGATGAGAAAAGAAAGGCACTTGTTAGAACTCAAGGATACACACCATGTGTTTTGGTGATTAATACTGCACGCAAACCAAACTTTTGTGTATTTATAAGGAAACTCGACAGGGCAACTTTAATCTCAATTATGCAGCATTAATCTGAGATTACTACCACTCATGACTACATAACTCCTCTAACAAGTCATTTTGTGATATTGTACTGTAATTTGTTGTCAGGTAGAGAAATTAGTTCTGTCTCCCCTTCTGCAATAGATTAATCCTTGTATGACTTAAATAGCTTGTGTTATCAAGAAGAAAGTCAATGACGTTTAGGTTGGCTTTCCCTTTTAACTGTAATCTTTCCCTTTAACATACCCAAACCTAGATTTTACTTACGGTAGTTAATAGTGGAGACATTCTCCCTCGCACCGTTAACAATTTTGTAACCTGGTCCATTCCCATATAAGATGGAGGTGAAGGGCTTCTGGTCAATATCACTCAACATTGGGGCCAGACCTGTGGATAGAGACATAGCATTAAACCCCATTATCACAACAGAACCATACTGATAATGTACGTTGCAGCACTACTACACAGATGGTACAATAAAGATACCGGATGTGCCTCGTTATCATTATCTACCGAATATTGTGTTTCCTCTGCTGGTGTAGCCTCCAAAGTTGAACACGTGGGAATGGTCAGCAGTAACTATAGTCAGCGTATCATGGATGCTGGTCATGAGATCTGCCCTGCCGATGGCTCTGTCCATTTCCACAGCTTCATGCAGAGCCTGCTTGGCCTTGCCCTCATGATGTCCGTGGTCAATGCGTCCTCCTGCCAGAAATGGAAAACATTTCTAGTTAGCCGTTACACTTAGAAAGATACAGTGGGATGAAGTTCTAATCCTGTGTCCCTGTGTCAATTGTTCTCTCTTAATACGTGCTAAGAAAATAACCTTTTCTCTTTTTGTTTAAATTTTTGATGACTCATCTTGAGCATTACATACATAAATGTACAATCACATCTGGTATAGGATGACTAGCTCTCACCCATCATAAAACAACAAGTTACTTGTGAGATGCAGCAGATGAGACGTGTTCAAGAATCCAGCAATCACTATGTTTGAAAAATTCTCAACCCTTTATTCTGACTCTGTTTGGCTGAACAATCACAGACAAACTTGGAGGTGTTTGCCCTCCACAGCCATTGACTGCAACATGCTTCTTTCAACATATTCAGCCAAGGACACAGAGTTACCAACACCAACCTTTCTGTGCCTACTATATTGTGCTGACATTGTGCATTCACATATTTCACAGTACTTGTGCCACTGACAATGATGGTCATGAATGAAGACCAGAACAATACAGAATTTTATTGGAATGGCATTTTTCTGCTCTCCTACATAGACTACCTTGAATAAACAGCAACAGACATAAAACTTCTTATACAACAAACAATTACATTTCTCAGTTCGCATAGTGGATAAATGCTGTTTCATATTCTGGACCTATATCATTGTTGTCTACTCTCCTGCCTCTAAGTCTGTGACTGCTTTGTCCTTGAAGTTTGCTGGCCTTTTATGTTTTTGTTTATATATTTTTTTCTTTGTATTTCATTAACTCTAGCAAAATATGTTTCTCTTGAAAGGCCAATTAAGTGAAGTGAAGTTAGCAGCAAGGTAAAAAACTTGGAAAAAAGTTGCTTTTGAACTAACTGTAAAAAGCTGATCTTTTATTGAACCTAATAACCAAGATCATACAAGAATCAGTCTCGCCAGGCTTTGAGCTATGCCCTTGTGATTAAACCACGGTGGTTCCGGATCAATCACCATCCCTTGAGGAACTATAGGAAACTATGGCATGAGATATGGGCATGGTCTAACGCTAGTAGTGTGTGACCATGTGTGACCTTTTTGCTAAAAAACAACAGTTGGCAACAGCAGCTGATAAAGAGGTTAGCTTAGCTGCTAGTATCAGTTATATCAGATCAGCACTGCAGGTTTTTCTCGACTGGCTTCGGTAAGAGTTAGATTACATAATATAGTTTGTTAATCTGACCGGTTGAAGTTTGTCCATGATAGATGGTGATAGACAGGTTTATTCAATCACCTGGCAAGTATTAGTACTCCCACCAAACAGTGACAAGACCTAAGAGATTACAGAGGGTTTGTTATTTCCCAGATGTTTATATTTAAATAAGAGAAGTAAAGCTGAAGTCATTAAGTTAGTTGGGGTTGGGAAAGGTTGTTTTTTATCTATCTATCTGCACTATATTACCTGTCTGATGCTTTCACGTAACATATCACTCACAAAAGCAATACGAACAGTGACCTTAACTTTGGCAGCTGGAATGTCAAGGGCCCAAACCATCCAGTTAGGAGTAAAAAAGCCCTAGTACATCTAAACACTTGAGGGTCCGAATTGCCTTTCTTCAGGAGACTTAAGAAGTAGGTCGGTGTGTAGGTAGTTCTGACCTGCTCCATCGCCACAATCCATCCCGTAGCCTCCGCTCATCTGATGCAAACCTCCTGACTCCACCACCCGACCAAGCACGAACCTGGGGCGACAGAGCGTCTCTGTAGCTGCCCCGTCCCTCCTGGACCTCCTCCCAAAGCATCCGTGGATTGTACCTGACCTCCAGACATTTCACACTGACAAAAAACACCTTTCAAATAGCTTTTAAAATCTGAGTCTACTGTGTTTTATTAACATAATGTATGTACTGTTTTATATTGTTTTTTACCTATTGATGTTCTTGTAATCTCTCTTTATTATATTGTACAGTGTCTTTGAGTATTCAGAAAAGCGCTCCTTTTTAAATAAAATGTATTATTCATTATTATTATTATTATTAGTGAGGGGAAACAGCTTTTTCATTCTCCCTTCTTCAGCCCAAGGTGAGAGATTCACCAATCTTTGATAAATAAGATGTATTCTTTTACCCTGAAGCTCCACACGCAGACCCAAATGCTGTTACATTTATAGCTCAGACCAACTTTACAAACACTCCATTATTCTACTGCTAATATATACTAACTCCGTATATCCTGACGATGTTTCTAATCGCCTCATCAATGTACTTTCCGATTTAAATTCACAATAATTCTATATCCAAAACTTTTTGATCTGCACTGCAGAACTCTCGTCGATGCCTCTGAGCCCTCCTTTTTGTCCTGATATTGAATAGCATGTCTTAGCTATAAGATTTAAACACACCATCAACTGCCTGAAATGAGGGAACATCAGACACAAAAGTTTCCTTTATTGCTGACGATCTCCCTTCAGTTATGTGTTCCTGGCTCATAATTAAACCACTAGGCTATATTATTAGAAATAACATTGATTATTAAGGAAAACAATATTCAAATATAATTAACTCAACAAATGTGATTCTGTTTTTATAATGCTATGGTTTAATAGAAGATGAGACCTATAATTCAGGAAGTCAAAAGTTTTAACAACTTAAACTTGGCCAGGATGGAGACTGCAGCGCTTAACTTACTAAACATGTATTCAGCTCCAAACTAATTGACCAGCATCAAACCAGCAAAACCAGAAAAAATCACTACATTGGACCCCAGCCACAGAGGACAGAAGAGCTGAGTCGATAAAGTTTATTTTGGATGGCAACACGTGCATTTTGCTGTGGACTGCTTTCTTAGCAAGGGCTATCTATTCAAGCTCAATGATGGATCAGGTGTCAGTGTCTCATCTGGACCTCATTTGAAGCCAGCTAAATAACAAGAGTAGAAGGTTTAGTAACTTTCCGTTGTTGTTGTACAGAATCACATTTTGCTCTATGATCCCTTGTGAATTTAATAATGTTATGACAATGCAATGGAGTGCTCTCTTCATGTACAATATTTGGTAGCAACTATAGAAGAGCAAAAGCTCCAAACACAAAACACTATCTGTCAGCTGTCAACACCAACTTGCCTTGACATAAAAGACTTCAAACTAATCAGTGGTGACACCCACATCATATATATATATATATATTCAGCCCAACAATAACAGTCTGTATCCCTGCCTAAAGAGAGACATTCACTATTGAAATCTGAAATCTTGAAAAAAAATTTGTCACAGACAAAAATGGAACTGACTTAACTAACTCAGTACAGAATCCCCAAAACAGAAGACAACAGTCCCATTTTCACTTGGATGATATAAACGCACCTTCTACTAGCAGGTAAAATCCACTGGGATTTCTCCTCAGGATCTTGATGGCCACCTCCACCATCTCTGTCAGCGAAGGATCAGTCTCAGTGTTCCTCTCTAAGTCATATGGCAGATCCCCAGGTTCAAAGAGACCTGCAACAACAGAAGGCCCCGTTCAAGGAGAAATAGGATATTACATATAGTAGAAAATAAACCTAAAGCAAATGCATATGAATCTTCATTTACACTTCAATGATATGTTCATAATGACACTGAGACTGGAAACTCACCCAATAAGTGATCTACGTTGTTAGGGTTCAGTGATAAGAGCTGGTTCTTGTTCCATACATAATGGCCTTTCTGCACAGTTAAAAGACACAATTGTACAGCACAGTGTGACTGCAGTCACTTTGAACTCCTAAATATGTAAATGTAATTGGGAAGATAAAAGAGGGAACAGAGAAACAAGAAGAGCAAAGAGAGGAAAGAGGAGGAGTAATGTACCTTATCCTTCATTCTGTCAGTCCACTCCTCCACCAGGTTTCTCCCGTCTTTTCGTGTGCCGCTGTGCTTTGCAACACCAGGGTACTCTATATCCGACATGTTTTTGGGGAACATATACTTCCTCCCTCCACCCATAATCACCTGGAAAGCCACACAGCAGAATAAAACATTGCAATCTTAGTCTAAAAACTATTTCAGGACTAAATGTTTCACCTGTGTATGAGAAAGCAACAACTGACCCCTTAGTTACTATTGCTACCCCTGTCAAGTGCAGATGCAGTCTGGCATGGGTAGAAATACCACTCAAGGTTCTTAGTTTTTTCTAACAGTGGGTCTTTGATTTCAGACAGTGGTTAACAAAAGCTCCTAATTTCTATCTGGCGATCCCCACTGTGCCTAACCATTACCCTAACCCCAACTTCTAGCCCTAACTCGCCTCTAGCAGGTTTTTTTCAGTATACAGACTATACAGAAGAAGAGCTCCTAGGAACTGAAGAGCAGATGAGGAGAAAGAAAGACAGGCAACAGGCAGAGGAGGGTGGACCAGCTGCTGCAAGGCTGCTAAACTCTTGAGACTGGTGGTGTTCCTGTAGGGACTGTGACTGATGCCCACAGAGGAGGTTTCAAAAAGACACTTCTTCTTGAGTGAGACTACACAGACCGGATAAAGTAAAAGGTACAGAAAACATTTAATTTCTCTATAGGTGGTTTCCCATAATGTTCCTTTCTCCAGATTGAATAATACACAAGCTTAGTTAGCCCGACATTGGCAGCTTACGTTAGGGCTGACGAAAACTCCATTCTTTACACTTTTGGTTTTGGAGAGGCTTTATATGCACTTACGAGAACCCAAAGCTTGACAGGTCTGTGTACCTATTTAGTAAGCTATGTTTGACACAAGTTGTTTGTGGGAGGATCAATTAGTCCAATGTTGGTACTTTTTCAGGTGACAAAACTTAAGTTATCAGCAGCAGTTCAGAATGAATACTTTTGACTCACATCAATGTTGGGAATGTTTTCAAAGAGTTGTCTGGCGATATCCTTGCAGCCGGCCTGTACTGCTTCAGGCGGCATCTCATTGTCGGAGTACCAGTCTCTGTCCACGCTGTGGGCATAAGCAGCACTGGGAGTTGCATGGTTGACACGGGTCGTTGTCACTATTCCCACCGACTTGCCTGCAGCGGACACACACATACACACAATGAATTAGGGCTGAGTATTTGTTTTCCGATTACATTTAAGTTGTCTTTTTAGTACAAAATTCCCTCTGTGTGTTCCCCTGGATAATGTTTTTTGCTGAGCTGCAGTGGAGCAATAGTAATACCAAGAAAGAATGTTACTGAATGTTAATGTACAAAAATTAATGTAACTTTGTAAAATGTTTGATTTGCTACCTCAGATTGCTGCAGCTACATAATAATGTTGCATGGAACAAGGAGCTAGGATTTTGAACCCAATCTCAGCCAGTATGAACAGCAACCAACAACAACTGATTGGACTTCTTATTATCTGTGACCCATGAACCCACACACATGCTCACACACAAACACACA